CCAACCCCCATCATTCTGTGATCCTGTTATCATAGCTTTTTGCTTTTGCCAAAGGCTTTCTAAAAAAAACAAATCCCCCAAAGAAGTCTAAGCAGATAAAAGAAACTGCAGAATTATTTTTAAGCAGATAATATAAAAACTGATTTGCAAACAACTGAACAATTGTTCTGTATTCACCTAGGGTTTGGTTTGCTTTCCTTAACCCCCATCATTACTTGTTCTGTGTAGATGGATTCATCCCTGCTCCTGTGGAAACATTCAGAACCTGGGAATCGGGTGGGAGGGCTTGACTGACAGCTCTCGGTGTTGGAGGTATCATGGGTTAGCCCAAAATATGAAACTTGCTCTCAGAACCAGTTTATAAACTTGAAGCAGCTGGATAGCTGCTCTTCACTGTAAAGACTGAGGCCAGAGTCTGATAATTACCCTAGCAGGCGTCCAGAATTAGTATTAGTCCACATCTGAGAGCAGCAAAGCTCTTTCTACCTGTGGGGAGGAGCTGCAAATGGAGATGCCTCTCCAGTGCAAGATATTCTGGATCCAGCTGAGCTGCATTTGCAATTGCCCCTTCCACTACCGTCAGGGCCGTCCACTCTCTTCTCTCCTGGGTGAACATTCAGTAGATCACAAAGGTCTTGGTACAGTAACATCTATTTAGCACATGTAATAAAGATAGAAAATGGATGTTAATTCCATGCTAGCAGCTCGTCATCGGCAACAGGTCCAGAAGATTTCTTGTAAGCGACTATAAAGCTAACACAGTTATCAATAGGGTGTATTGGTATATTATAATAACACCCAATAAACTACAATATAGTATATAAGGCTGATATTGTGAATGCCATAGGATATCTTGGCATATTTCTATCCAGATTGCTGACCAAATTGCACCTATTTCTTTTACTTTGCAGACATTAGAGGGGCACCAAGGCCCAGTTAAGTGCTTGTCCTTTGATCAGTGGCACCTCGTCACAGGAAGCACCGATGCATACGTCCTGGGATGGAGCATGTTGGGAAACCTCAAGAGATGCCTAACAGCTTTCCGCCACCCTAAGTAGGAATCAGATGTGTTTCAAGCTGTACTCAACAGTCTACTAAATCTGTAAAGAAAATGTCTCCCTTGCAGGAACAGAAAATGCCTTAATTATCAGTCCTGGCATTTGAAATATCCTTCAACAATCTTCATCTTACAAACAGTGTCAGGCACTACATGGTCACAACCAGCATTTGTTAGCTAAGACCTATAATGCCCTAAAATGCAAAAATGCAACCGCTTGTTCGCAAACAGGGATGACTTAAGACTGACAGTGCATAGTCCAATATTTCAAGGATCCCAACCTGTATGCAATAGGGTACCACACTGCCTGGTCAAGAATAGACACTGTCTATGTTGGAGGTGGCTGAGTTACTTGCTGAACCCTACGGACTGTGTGTGATGCCATTTTCTAATACTTCAATTGTATATTAGAACTGTGAAAACTGTAGCAGTGTATCGTTTTTGTTTACTTTCCTAGACATAAAATTGAAATTTAAAATGCAGCAGATGGCCATAACCATACTGATTGCTATGAAAATGCACTGGGCTGGTTGGTTTGGACATGAAGTGATTATGAAGGACTTCACTGTGAGATCTTTTAAATATCTTGATCAGCTCCTCTGTTTAGCCTGTTGATGGAGGCAGACCTTTGCATCTCTTCCAAGACAACATTGTTAGCTGATGGTGTCTCCTTGTGAAAGCATAGTGAATGTACCAACACCTAGGTGTTGTGTTTTCAGGGAAGTTCTGTCTCTGGAGTTCCTCTGTCTCCGAGTCATCAGCAGCTGTGCTGATGGAAAGATTCGCATATTTAACTACTTGACTGGAAGCTGCCTGAAGGTGTTGATGGCCAGCAGCAGAGGGGACCCCATATCTTCTTTCTGTGTTGCAGGAAACAGGTTGGTGATAACAGCTGCCATCAGTCTCTGAACCAAATTAGGTCGATTACATTGTAATTTAAATAATTGTGTATTTTTCCTTTTACTGTCCTTCTCACAAACAAGTTTTGAAGTGCTCTACTGATTATTGACTGCTTTAATCATTTGGTTTTGTTAACAGTGGCTGAAAAGAGCTCTTTCTTAGTCCATTCAGCAATGTACAATTTCATGTTTCTATATAACTTAAGACATAGACCCACTGTAAAGCTGAATTCGGAACCCAAATTTCTTAAGAGGTTGGAGAATCAAGCCAAGGCCTGACAGAACTTCTGGCTGTTCCCTCATCTACTGCTTCTTTATAAAAGCCAATAATGGAAAATCCTTCCAGGTTCATTCACTGCTGTGCCTCTAAACTAAAGATAGTTCCTGGCTTCTGCGTGAGCAATAGCTAAAACACCGGTGTGTTAGCAATGCTGGTTTGGTCACTACTCTAAAACACAGCAATATATAGGCTGCTATGAAGAAAACTCGCTCCATCCCAACCAGACCTGGTACATCCCTCCAATTTTCCATCCCTCCAAGTTTCTTTTTGCATTGCATTGATCCAGCTCAGTCCACTGTTGGCAATTTTCATCCTGATTATTTTAAAATTAATTCTGCCATGGAGCTGAATGAAAAGAGCCCCACAGAGCTCAGGCAGAGTATGAGTTAAAATGCGCCGCATCGGATTGATAGGACTAATTGCTACTGCTTCCTTAAACAAGTGATGGTTATCTCGGATCTGTTCAAGCGCCCTGGGTTTTGTATTGCTCAGCAGCAAACGGGCCCCTCAGGGAGCAACTGCTGTGTCAGTGATATTTGTGTTCTGAAGGGCTTTCCCTTCCCCTCTCCAGGATGGTGATCAATTCACCGACTAGTCTGCTGCTGTTCCAGTTTGAGGACGTCAGGTGGGTCTATACCTTAGATGCTGAGATGCTGACAGAGAGATGGTGGAGAAGAAAAACCAGCCCCGTGGGCCTTGGAGCAGAACACTGCTTCACCTTCGGCGAATGCCACGCTGCGACGCCGGCCACAGGCATCGGCTGGCTCTGGAGACACAAGACGCTGACCTGCTCATGCTGTCCTGGGGGATCCGCTGCCGGTCACCGAGAAGCTGTGGAACATCTCGAAGTATTACGTACAGCTCCTGCAATAGGCTGGCATTTTCTAAAATGAGTTAGAAATGATTTCCAGTACCCACTGCCTTCATCCTAATCAATATACAGAACCTCTGCTTTTTTTTTTAGAGTGCAGTCTGGTAGATGTGCTGTTGGGTTTCAACAGTTCTGTCTTTTTTCTGGGGGCTTTTGTAAAAACTTTGTACCTTTTTAGAAAGGGTTGGTATAAGTTCAACATATGTGTCAAGACAGGCACTGTCATTTTCCAACTGAGTAATAGGGAAATCAGTAGCATTACTCACATTCTGATGGCTGGCGTGCACGGAAACATGCTGCTGATTCAGTGCTTGAATTATTTATTAGAAAATACTCCAGCAGTCACAGAACACCTGCACTCAGGATCTGCCATCACTGGGAAATGCAATTGCACATAAGCAGGCACCTTTTAAATTGTAACTTTGTGATGTTGTTTCTTTCTAAATCAGCAGTTATTTAATACAGTATCACACATCTTCCAGCTCTACAATCAAACTGTCTATTGCAGATAAACTCATGGACTAAGAAAGTTTTAAGGCCGTCAGATGCAAACCTCCCTGATGCAGCTCTGCTTGGTAAAAGATGCACAGTTTGTAGAAACAGGAAACAAACAGGGAGTGCAATATATCTTAATTTTAGTGGTTAAAAAAGTATGGGTTGTGTATACATACATAATATTTAAAAAGTCAACGTTTGCTGTCATCTTTGAATTCTGTGAGGTTTTCCACTAATCAAATATCTTTGGATAATTTCTAATACCTAGAGCCTTGAAAGCTGTGATAAGCGGTAAAACAGTAACCAAATCCCATCTGTTATGAAGATTTTATTTAATAAAACAAGAAGCTTAACTCTAGCAAAGTTGAGAGATGACTTTTTCTTCTGTTTTCTAGCTCTCTGCTATGAACTGATGAAATCAGCAGCTTGCTGGCAACAGCAGCCTTTTCTCAAGATCGAAAAGACTTTTCGTATTCAGGCAGCGCAGCAGAAAAAGCCTTTCCTTCCTGGCACCAAACCACCCCATGCCTCTGCCGCAGAAAAGTCAGCGAGAGCCCGTTCAGCAAGAACCCTGGCAGCGACTGGTAAGGACTCTTTGTAGCTAGGTGGGACACAATTCTCTGAACAAGCACACCTAAGGTAACTGCATGGATTAAATGATGGGGCCGCTGCCGAACGAGGCGGGTGTCCTGGTGACGGAGGATGCAGAGAAGGCAGAGTTACTGAACACCTGCTTTGCTTCAGTCTTCAGCGCCAAGGCTGGCCCTCAGGAATCCCAGGCCCTGGAGGTAAGAGAGGAGGTCTGGTGAAAGGATGACCCTCCCTTGGCTGAGTAGGTCTGTGTGAGAGATCATTTAAGCAATCTGGACGCCCACAAATCCATGGGACCCAATGCAATGCGCCCATGAGTGCTGAGGGAGCTGGCAGATGTCATTGCTGAGCTTCTCTCCATCTTTGAAATGTCCTGGAGGACAGGAGAGATGCCCAAGGACTGGAGGAAAGCCAGTGTCACTGCAGTCTTCAAAAAGGGCAAGAAGGAGGACCTAGGGAACTACAGGCTGGTCAGCCTCACCTCTGTCCCTGGAGCTCATTCTGGGGGTCATCATTAAGCAAGTGGAGGCTAAAAAAGGT